AATCAACAAAATTACATTATATATATATATATAGAGATATATATATATATATATATATATATACAAATTTTGATGACACAATATCTGATACATGAAGATTATAAAAATATGTGTGAAGAATGTGGAACCAGGCGGCTCTTTAACAACCTCCGATGTTGCCAAATGAGACATATGACCTCTGTTTCACCCTAGAGAGATATAGAATCTCTCCACAGTGGATCAGCAAAAGAATATCACCGTACACACAGATTTAAGTGACAAAAATAACGATATAGGCTGTGAAACATAATTTTAAGGTCAAGATGCATTCTGTAAGCAATTATTTCTGTCAAATATGAAAACACTTCCATCTCTATGACAGGTGTTGTTTCGTGTAGCCAGCTATGGCACCAGGGGATGTGGTGCCAGACCATGCCAAGCAGGTGAAGTCCAAGGAGAAGCGGCCGGGAAACAGGGCCTCGAAAGCAGACTGTGAGCCGGATGGGTCCTTTGTTTTTGAGGCTCACGAGGCCTGGAAGGACTTCCATAACTCCCTCAGGCATTTCTACGAAGTAGGCGAGCTCTGTGACGTCACGCTGAAGGTAGGTCACCCTGTCCAGATTTAAGTCAAGACAGAGAGATTTGTCTTCTGTTTATGTCTCAACTGGTCTGTGTTTATGTTTCCAGCAGTGTCAGGTTAAAGGTTGTGATTTCATAAAGAATATTTTATAGATGTGAGCCTAATTAATCACAATTTTAAGTTGAGTGTGGCTTGATTTATTTTCAATCCCTAAATCGCTGCCAAAATCACAGTACTGAACAGCCATACTGTGGAAATGAATAAGCAGTGAGCTTATTAATAATGTATACAGGATGTGTGTTGTTGCCTAAACATGGGTTTTGTGTTTGTGTCTCTTTTTGTAGGTTGGCAGTAGGTTGATACCATGTCACAAGCTAGTGCTGGCTTGCGTGATCCCTTACTTCAGGTATATATAAAATATATATAAAAGGTTTTATTTTTGGAACTATAATAGCAATTTTCTGCTCAGCACAGACACATAAGAGGGTTTTTTTTTTTTACTAGAAGAGACTTAAACTCCATAATGTTGTAGTGGAACCTGCTGGTCTGTAGCTCTGTTTTCTTAATATTATACTGTATGTCCCATAAACCTTTTGCACCGACTAAACATACAGAGAACTGTCTGTAAGTTGTCTTAAGACTGAAAATAAGGTCTTTTTTTCATTTCTGTTTAGATCGTGTATATAAAGATGCTTGAATGGAAACATAGTACATGTTCCCTCTTGTATATTAACAGCTAGGAAAAAAACATACATTACAGAAGATACAAACACAATAATTTGAGCACATACTATTTGAAACAAAATACTATGATAGTACAAAATAACAAAATATGACAATTTGCTTTAAAACTTTTTACTGTCAGCAAAAATTCTATGATTGTGACAACTGTAATCGATTATCATGAAGTATTAACACACTTTGAAATGGAGTCAATGTACTTTATCGGCCTCCATATTGTCAAAACCTCAAGATAAAATAGTTATATAGTATAGTATACATAACAGACGTTTAATGGAAGGTCTTTCACCTTGTTCTTTACTATTTCTTCTCTCAGGGCCATGTTCCTGTCAGAGATGTCCGAGGCTAAGCAGGAACTGATTGAGATCAAGGACTTTGATGGTGATGCCATCCAGGACCTGGTGCATTTTGCCTACTCCTCTAAGCTCACATTAACCGTCGACAATGTTCAGCCGCTGCTTTATGCTGCCTGCATCCTTCAGGTAAATAAAGAAACACAAATCCCATCAAACTTCAAGCCATGCAGACATTTTGTTCTCTCTGTGAAATTGCTTTATTACTGCCTGAATCTGTTAGGTGGAGTTGGTGGCGAGAGCCTGCTGTGAGTACATGAAGGCCCACTTTCACCCCACCAACTGCCTGGCAGTCCGTACCTTTGCTGAGAGCCACAACCGCGTGGACCTGATGGACATGGCCGACCGCTATGCCTGCGAGCACTTCACTGAAGTAGTGGAGTGTGAGGACTTTACATGCGTGTCTCCCCAGCACTTGCGCACTTTATTGTCCTCCAGCGAGCTTAATATCCACTCAGAGACCCAGGTGTACAATGCAGCGGTGAAGTGGCTTAAAGCGAACCCACAGCACCACGAGGCCTGGCTGGACCAGATCATGTCTCAGGTTAGAGAATGCACAGCTTCAAGAGGGGTTTGGTTGAGTGTACACAAATTCATTGTTGCATCCTGAATTTAATATCTCCTTAAGTTTTGTATCTCTGTTTCTGAAGTCCCTCTGTATATGTTCTAGTAAAGTTAGAATTTATGACCTATTTTACTGATCACCTGAAGGTTTAGCTACATAACTATGTGTGAGTTTAGCGTTGTGTATATGTTCAGGCTTTATGTAATCACTTTTACAACCACAATCCAAAGTGTATGCTGGTCTCTCCTTCAGGTGCGCCTCCCCCTGCTCCCTGTAGAGTTCTTGACTGGAACGGTGGCTAAGGACGAGATGATCAAAGGTAACCTGAGCTGTCGCGACCTGATGGACGAAGCCAGGAACTACCACCTGCACCTCAGCAACAAGGTGGTGCTGGACTTTGAGTATTCAGTCCGTACAATACCCCGGAAACACACTGCAGGTAGTACTTATATGGTGGTGTTTGGCTTTGAACATGTAACCACTGATTTTATGGCATTTGTAGTAACATTCAGAACTTTTTCTTATCCTAAAAAATACATGAAACCAAAATGGCTTTGTGGGTTTTCATGTGTTCTAACAGGCTTGGTCTCGTCTTCATAATAGAAAGTTTGTTGTATTTGCTTCGTGTATCTTTTCTTCTTTTTAAAATATGTTTATCCCACGGGTCTGTGTGCTTGTGTCTTCTGTCACTATGCCAACATTTTGTTCTTTTCCCACCACTTCTTCAGGGGTTTTGTTCTGTGTGGGTGGTCGGGGGGGTTCTGGTGACCCATTTCGCAGCATTGAGTGCTACTCCATCACTAAGAACAGCTGGTTCTTTGGTCCTGAGATGAACAGCAGACGGCGTCACGTGGGTGTAATATCTGTAGGAGGTAAGAGGGGTTATATACAATAAGACTACAGAAAGTCAAAGCCGGGACATGGAAAGATGAACAGTTGGAAAAGTTCAGAAATCGAAGAGCACAGGGAAACATTATGACATATGTTGTACTTTATTTTCACATCACAGAAGGAATGCAGTAACAGTCTGGAAATAAATTCTATATAATGTTTACTTTTAAACAGTTTTAGAAATGTGTTGAATCAACTTTATGTTTAACTGTATTGCATTATACGTTATACATGCAACTGAGTGTGTATTTAACTCAAATATAATACCCTAATATTTGAACTAACATAAATAATATATAATGAATACAGTTTACCTTGCAACATGTTTATCTTTGTACGATATTGCTTGTCACTAGTCAAAACAGTCCTAATTAGTTTGCTCCGACACTTACAACAACTGTGGATCATTTTTAATCACTGGTCAGGTCACATGATCATACAGACTTTATATCTGATGTTTCTTAGGTAAAGTTTATGCTGTTGGGGGCCACGATGGTAATGAACATTTAGGCAACATGGAGATGTTTGACCCCCTCACCAACAAGTGGATGATGAAAGCTTCCATGAACACCAAGAGGTACAAAGACACTACAATACACTCAATGTGAATGGGACTTTCTTCTTTGTCTTATATTCTTGGTAAGTGTGCTGTCACAATAAAGTGCCTGAACTAAAAACTGATATTTTTCTTCTCCACTTTGGCCTTCCAAAGCCCTTGTCCCCGTTGACTTAGACAACATCCCTCTTTCAGCCTTTAACTGCACAGGAACAGGGCAGATATATACCTTACCATGCACTTCTTCCAGTGTACCATTTACTATCTACTGTATATACATACACTTAGAGTATTGGATAAATACCAACAAATACTGCTTTGAGCAACGGTGTATGTGTTGCTCAGGAGGGGTATAGCCCTTGCTGCTCTTGGTGGTCCTATCTATGCTATCGGAGGTCTGGATGACAACTCCTGCTTCAACGATGTGGAGCGTTACGACATCGAAAGCGACTGCTGGAGCGCTGTAGCTCCGATGAACACACCCAGAGGAGGAGTGGGATCTGTGGCACTTGGGGTAAGACTGTAGAGGAAAGTTGTGAATCATTTGTTACTGATAGATGTTATCAGATCTCTGGGCTTGAATTCTTGTGTACCATCTCCTTGCCAGAGTTTTGTGTACGCGGTGGGGGGCAACGATGGCGTGGCGTCACTGTCCAGTGTGGAGCGTTTTAACCCACACCTCAACAAGTGGACGGAGGTCAGCGAGATGGGCCAGCGACGGGCTGGAAACGGAGTCAGCAAACTCAATGGTTGCCTCTATGTAGTTGGTGAGAGAAATAAATATACAGTATATAGCAGTAGCCTGGTATCTCTGCTTCTTTCTGATACACCCAGGTCACATGCCTCCTACATACACACCCTACAATTTTATACACAAATGCGTGAATCAGGAAAGACAAAAGTTCATGTTTTGTAAAGCTATCTGGTAACTGATTAACAGAGTGTGAGGACGAGGCTTTTATTGTGCCATTTGAATTTAAAGAGTCACTCGAGGTTCATTAAAACTTCTCTTGTGGCATTTTGCCTAGTCACTAGCTGTGGCATGAAATCCTCTTGATGCAGGTAATGTTGTATGTGCCTGCTCCATTAGTAACAGCATAATCTTACTCGAAGCAATTAAGTCATTGTTATACGTGAGTGTGTTCCTTGTCAGGTTACAGGTGTGTATTAGTTTCCTGTTTGTCCCATTTTTCTCAAAACCATGAGACGTTTTATATTTAGAATAATTGCCTCTGTCATCTTTCTTAAAGGTGGTTTTGATGACAATTCACCTCTGAGCTCCGTAGAGCGCTTTGACCCTCGAATGCACCGCTGGGAGTACGTGTCTGAGCTGACCACCCCCCGTGGGGGAGTCGGGGTTGCCACTGTAATGGGAAGAGTGTTCGCAGTCGGGGGTCACAATGGGAACATTTACCTGAACACAGTGGAAGCTTTTGAGCCTCGAATGAACAGGTGAGGAGGAGATGGATGAGGATTGTGTCATGTGATGTGTTTCTAAAGTATTGATTTTATAATAGCCATTTATTAGTAGGAAGCTTCTGTAGTGAGAACCCATAAGGATAAACTGTAGTTGGTTGGAGTCAACTGGCAGTTTATTGCAAATAGATATTCAGTTTGATTCAAAATACCTGATTCCTCAAATGCAAAAGCATAAAATAAATATAAAGTAAATAAATATAAAGTCGCATTATGTCAAAAACGGTCTAATTGCTTCTGGAATAAACCCAAACTTTCCTATATTTGTTTGCATACATGATATCTAAAAAAGTAGTCATAGAAGACGTGTGGGGTCAGAGATTATTGTATATGCCTCTTTGAGTTCAGTATTAAGCTGCACAAAGGAACTGTGGTTTACCAATCATTTAATATAATATATAATAAATATAATAAAAGACAAACAACTTGGAAACACATTGCTGATTTAGAAACGAAAACACAAAGACACAGTTAAGTTAAATATTGCTGTGTAGTCCTCCTCAAATAAAATCTGAATTATGTTTCCTGAGCATTAACACTGGCTGAAACTTCATGGTACCCTGGACAACAGTTTGTGTCTTGTGTGACTTCATGATACTAAAATAGGACTCAACTTGTTACGTATATTAATTGTTACGTATATTAACTCAAACCTAGCTCAAAAATACTTCTGCATTGTTTAAGGCTGTTACTATGTCGTCTTCTTATTTTGTTGTTATTTACATTTGTTTGCTGTCCAGATGGGAGCTGGTGGGTTCGGTGTCTCACTGCCGTGCCGGAGCCGGAGTGGCCGTCTGTTCGTCTCACGTCAGCCAGATCAGGGATGTCGGCCAGGGCTCGAGCAACGTGGCCAACTGCATGTGACCCCCCCCTGCCCCGTGGCCTGCTTATTACCAGGTGACTGACAGCCAGGTCACCATCAGATCTGATCACTGCACAAGCACACGACACAAAGCACACAGACAGTGACAGAGTGAGTTCGCCCAGCAACTTTGTCACTGTTGCCACTGTCTGAACACCAGCCTGAAAACACATTAAGGCTGATGTTCAGTTTGCACACAGTGACTATTAGGGAGATTTTACTGACTTGAAGTGCACATCTGACAAATCTGAAGTCTTCTCTGACAAAATGACTCCTGCTGGTGTTATTTGCAATCATTGATGTAGTATTTTGTACTGTATTTTCTTTTGTTTGACTGCCTTGTCATAGTTTTGACTTTTTTTTTTTTTTTTAAGGGAAACTAGTAACTGAGCCTTCTTGAGAATGAGAGGTGAGTTTTGGTTCAGAACTACTGAACGGTGCACATTATGAACGGGGACCTTTAGTGGGCCAGTATGAAAGCATTTCAAAGGTCTCTTCTTTAAGACAGTTTACTCTTTGGCGCTGCAGTTGTTTTCATTATCCAGAGAGATGTAATCATACTGGATTCGACGCCTCGTTTTTGCAATGCAGTGTGTGCAGTTAAAACACAAACATTTTCTTCAGTCATTCTGAAATATGATGTTAAGATGTCAAATACATTTCCAAGATTCCTGGGATCTTACGCCATGTTAAGTGAAAGCATCTGTTGAAGTAGTTAGACTTCTTTTAAAGGTGCTTTTTCAGAATTATTCTATCAGCAGTTCCAACTGCAGTAAGCTGGATCGTATCCCAGCAGCTCTAGCTTTTTTTGGGATTTGCCTTTAATCATGTTTAAACAATCATTTTAAGGCCTATCGGGACAAATCAGTCACCGGTCAGGAGGTGACAGGTCCGAGGAATTTAACCGCTGCAAGTGCCAAACAAACAAAAAAGTGCTGCCTGCACCTGCTGAATCCTGAGTCGCCACCTTTACCTCGACCTCAGAATTGAGAAAGGTTTTGATGACTATATATACCTGAGAATCAAAGACTCATCAGAGCAATACGATGCAACTCTCCAGTTCTCTTTCAGTTCTACATTGTTGTACAGAGGTCTGTTCAAGCTGACAGGGACAGATTTTCAAAATTCAAGATTTGTGTTTGACGATAGCTGGACTGTCAGAAATCCTAATCAGAGTGCTTTCAGGTGTGTATGAGATTCAGCTGAGGTTTGTCTCTGCAGATGGTAATGTTATATTTTAATATATGGACATTTTGTATAATAAGATAGGTGTATCTTTGGTATTATTCTTATCTACACTATCTAATCCATTGCTGTGCACTATTTTCTTAGAATAGGTGTGAAGTCTAAGTATATTTTTGTCCTAAATGGAGAATTTCACGTTATTCATGTTTGAAGATGTTTATTTAACACAATTTTTCTGCCCTATCTAAGAAACATGTAATATGTGGCAACAGCTTCGTTTTTCAGAATAGGCTGACAGAGTTTAAAACAGAAATGCTATATACGGTTTATACTACAAATATACATATTATTGCACAGTTTGTGTCCTGCCATTATTAATACTAGTGCATAATATCAACAATTTGTTATCAATATTGTTGCCAACTTTGTTAACAAATTAGCCTTTTTGTAAACTTTACTGTACTTTGTGTTCTTCCTCCTCTTGACTGCTTCCATCTTTTGCTTTTTATTTACATTGTATTGGTATAAGTTGGTACAATAAAGTGTTCATTGGTGGAATTCCTTGTTTGTTTTTTATTTAACACTTGAAATGTTGCCTTCCAGCACTGGGTCCAAAAAAACCTTCAGCAGTCACGTTTATGGTAATGCTCCTTTATGAAATTAACTGTCACTTCAGTTCAACATCAATAATAACATCAGACTGCTGAGTTTGTGGGAGTTTTATGGTTCATTTTCCTGCACCTCTGAAGATGAAGATTCATACATTTATACTTTCACTCTCATTACATTAATCAGATTTAGGTTCGAGGTTTCTTAATTCAGACATATCTGCTGAGCAATATAACAAGTAGAGTAGTATGAGAATTAGATTTAAAATTTTGCGTTTATTGTTTTGTAACATCCTATGAAACCAAGTTAAAAAGTAACAGTTTGAGGCAGATGTTTGGCAGTATAAAGTTTATTGACAGTTGACATGTGGTTGTTATAAAGTCTTGTCTGAACTTTGTGGTTTCACTGTGTCAAATGTGAAGCACACACTGTTGTAATCAATTGGTCATTAAGGCTATTAAAAATGTGTGTTTAAATTCTCATTATGTATTGTGTGAGAGGAGTTTTTGGGGCCTGAACTCAGAATGTCATAAAGTTAGTTCAAATTAAATGGCATGCAATGATGTGAAGTTCCTTTTTTATAAACACATATTTTAAGTCACACTAAAATGCATTCTGCAAGAAGTAACTTGTACAGATGTACAAAATAATTCTTTGTTGAAATATAAACATTACAAAAGAAATGAGAAAATATGTCCGATTTGCATCATGTTAATTATTGATAATTGTTAATTTTGGTTATATGAAATTCAAATGTTTTATCCTTAATATTGCACATTGCGGAATCAAAATAGCCATGTCATGTAAGTTTAATTCGATAACAAACTACTGTAGGCTGTAATATAGAAAATGAGTCAAGAGGTCAAGTGTTTGTCATCTGTGTTTTACTGCTTTCAGTCTTTGGACCCTGGACGGATGCTGAAAAGAGGTGAATCAAAGAGAAGATGCTCAGAAGTCTGATAACTGGCAGCTAGAGCACATCACTCACACACTGCCAGGCTCGGGAGTTTGGAGAAAAACGTAAAGTTATTAGGATGTGTAGAAACCTTAAGAGCTGAACAAAGAAAAATTAAACATGGACAGGAGACAAAGAGTGCTTCTGCAGCTGCTCAGCTTTGCTGCTCTTCTTGCCTGCGGTAAGTCTCTTGTGACACTTTTTATTTAATGATTCTGCCAATCATGGAGAGGTCAAAGCATAAACCTAAGAGCGCCGGCCCTTGCTTTAATTTTTTTAATCATTAAAATAAAGACAAGTGTATCAGCAAAGGAGAACCTGATGAAATATGAACTCAAAGTTGTGTTTTTTAACGTAATGTGTTTCGATGTGATGACTTGCACTGTATTTTTGAAGAAATGCATAAAGTACTTGATGAGCAGACCTGAGGGGGAGAATTTAATTTTGGCATTATAGTAATAAAGAGATGGGGAGAAAAAAAGACTCACATTAATAAATTCCCACAGTGGAGATCTCTTACTTTAACTCGTCTATATCACAGAAGAAGCCGAGTTTTTTTTTTATTATTTATTAAAGGAACCACACAGTAAATATTCTAAGAAAAAAAACAAATTGTCATACAAAAGACCTCTAAACCTTTCTTATTAAACTAGTTTTCCACCAATCTGTACTGTTTTATATGCTGACCTGTGATTAAAATCAGCTGCTTCTCTTCAAAATGTGAAGAATCTCTAAACACTGGGTTACTTTGTGCCACCAATTATCTTTAGAGAAAAAAAAAATTATGGTTTGTACTTTTAAATTATAGCAGAGGATTTAAGTATACTTTGTATTCTGAAATATCTTGCATCAGTGGTTTAGTCTTTTATCTGATGTTTGATGTCTCTGAAGCCTCACACTGGATTGTTTCAGGTGAGGTGGAAAACACTGGATAAACGCTTTGCAGTAGCTTTTAACTTTATATCAGCTGTGGTTTTCTCCTGGTCTTTTGACCCGTTATGGACGAGCGCAAAAACATGTGATTCTAGTGTCAGTAAAAGTTGTTAAAGTCAAACATTACCCATTAGATTTGTATGAGGTGCTGAGAGTTGACTGACATGGCTGGACTGTGGATCTGTCATGGGACTTTTATGATTGATGGGCATTCAAATGATGAAAGTCCACATCAACCGGGTAGCTGTTTTTTTTTTTTTTTTACTTAACCATGAAATTTATACCGTTCTTCCTGACTGAAAGACGTTACTTCATTATGTCTTTTAATCTGCGAAACCGTGCATCCGTTTTACAGACAGAGTGTAAAAAATATAGAGAGAGTGTCTTGCTTTTGCTGCAGGCCAGTGATGGACGTCTCTGTGATTAACCAGATCTTTGGACTTGGGTTTACTTTGAAGTAATAAGAACAGAGAGAGTAATCTTCGCACATTAGACACATGATAATAAGTTAAATAAACTAGCGTTAAAAAGATGATATATCTGTATTTTTCTTTTAAGTTCAGGGTTTTCCAAATCACTTCAAACCCATTTTATTGCGGCCAGCATCTAGTGGTTCATGTGCTGTTTCACATACTTTGCTGTGTGCTTTTATAATGTATTTCTTTTGTTAAATACAACATATTTTGGTTGCATATATGTGCACAGTAACAGTATGTTGTATTGTTCTGTTTCAGCCCACTGCCAGTGTCAGGCAGGCTGGAGGGAGTATGAGACTAAATGTTACTTCTTTTCAACTGATACAAAGTCATGGCTGGAGGCTAACGCTTTTTGTTTGGAGCAGAACAGCAACCTGATGAGCGTTCAGGACATTCACGAGAGGGTGAGACAACACACGAGCCTCCAGATTTGATAAATGTTCTTTTGTCTTTTTTTACACACAGGGATCATGTATATTTTTATGTCTTATTTCTAGTTGTGGGTGAGGACACAAATCGGCACAGAGATCTACTGGTTCGGTCTGAATGACCAAGTCTCAGAAGGTGTCTGGGAGTGGAGTGATGGGAGTCCTTTTTTACCATACCTATCGTATGTAGCATCCAGTATCAGAACATTTCAGTAAAGTTGTACACGAATAGACGTGTGATGACTGTTTACTCAAAATGATCTGTCTTGTTTCAGATACTGGATGCAAGGCCAGCCTGACAACTGGGGAAGTGACCCTGGGGAGGACTGTGGTCAGGTGGTGGGATCTAGATTTGGACAGTGGAATGATGAGAACTGCAATGTGAAGAGGAAATATATTTGCAAGCACCCCAACCGTAAGTCTACCAAATAGTGTGATAGTTTAAATTCCATAGGAATTACATTTGTTTTATTATCTGATGATTATTATCTCATGATTTCACAATACCTTTAATTATTTTTCATGTAAAGGTTATCCAGTCTCAACATAAATTATCTCAGATAAGATACTGTATGAGCCACCTCCACCATACAGTGTGGTGATGATGCAAAAACAGCTTTAAACATTAATTATGTAACTATTTTGATGTCGGAGCAACCAGAATTATAATTCAGTATTTTAAGTGTATGGAAGTGACATAATCAAACAACTTTGTTTTTCGTCTACCAGTTTGTTGCATTGCATTTTATTCACTAGTTTTTGGTGTTTTTTTTAAGTTAGTTTATCAGGCAATAGAAACAAAATGGTGATCCGCTCATCAAAATAGAGCTGCAAGTACTCTTTACCAAACTCAGCATATTAAAAGCTTCTATATTATCTTTCCATTAATTAACATAACAGAAACAGAAATAGGTTGTTTTTCAAACAGTAATGCGTCAGGTACCACTTCCTCACAAACAGACACACAAGCCCATATTTTATCAAACCGTTCTTAACGTGGGGGATAAGCAACATTTTAAAACATACATTTTATTTTCTGCTCTCCAGCGAATCCTGGCCCACAGTGTGACTTAGGCAACGGCTGGAGACAGTACGGCTCCAACTGCTACAAGCTGAAGGCCGACACTAGGAAGAGTTGGTCGGCAGCCAGATCTGACTGTGTGCAGGACGGAGGAGACTTGGTGTCCATTACTACAGCACAAGAAGAGCAGTACATCACAGGAACACTGCACCCATCACACTTTGACCTCTGGATTGGGCTTTCCACACTGGTGAGAGGAACATAGTGATGCATTAAGAGGCTCACTTTGACTCTTTATTATTTAATACTGGATGTGAATATTTAGTGCATCAATATGAAGATGAGCTTTGCTTCTCCAGAAATGCAACAAGATTTCGTGTCAAGTCGAAGCAGGGAACAGTCAGTTAACCTGGTCGGATGCTCAGCAAGTGGGGTACACAAATTGGGGTACCGGTGAACCCACACTGTAAGTTCTAATATGGTATCTGTCTCATTTAAACTAAAATATAATCTGTACAATCAAAGTCTGACCATGTGTTCTCCAACAGTGATACACAGTCCGGCTCATGTTCTGCAATAATCAAAGACGAATCAGATGAATTTGGAAAATGGAAAATTCACGTGTGCCGATATGAGCGTCCTTACATGTGCAAACGACCACTGAACAGTAAGCTGGATTGTTACTGTTACTACACAGTGATAATATCTCTTGTCCCAGTCATTATATTTGTATTGTAATCAAAAAAGTTATAATATTGTTTAGATTCTTTGCTTTTTCCTCTAACCTCTTGCCTGCTGTTCCTCCAGCTATCTGCCCTGCTGGCTGGCTGAGTTTCGCTGGCAGTTGTTACTGGTTGGTCAGTAATACCAATCTGTTGACCACCTGGCACGAGGCCTTCACCAAGTGCTCCGACATGGGGTCCCACCTGCTGATTATAAACAGGTAGGAAAGAATTAAATGGCAAGTATTATTTTTTTTTAAAGAGACACTTGAAAGAAGAAATAGCACAGAGTTGAATTCATAAGCAGTTCAGTACACTTACTGCAGCAGGTGAAATTTAAATTTAATTTTAAAGACATTACTGCACCAGTTTGTTTATGTTATGACTGCATTATGTTTGGGCATGTCACAGATA